GACGGCGATCGGCGGCCCCCATGTGCAAGCTCGCCGAGCCGCCGGGTCATCGGTTTGTGCCTTTCGCGACGCGATAACCTTTGCAACGAGCGAAAGTATGCAGGCGAGCCGGTTAGGATTTATCCCTGTCTCAGGGTTAAGATTATGACGGTAACATTGCGTTGTTTACCAGTATTTCGCAAAATCGTAACAATTTATCTAGAAGCGACTCCTAGAGCCGCTCGTCAAATTATGAAGCGCGCAATTAAGCTTTTTTCTTTTTTTGGCGACACGGCATATCCCTTTGCGTCAAAACTTCGCCGGCGGCATTTCGAAACTTTCTGCTCGTAGCGCAATCGCACCAATGCCAAACAATTCCGCACGTACTGGATAAACGTCATCATCGTAAGCTCAGCACGTTTTTCTAAGTTCACGGTACCTGTGTGGAAAATATGGTGCATGTTAACGCATGTCCGGGCCGTTAGCAGCATCCTGCGCCTTGGTAAGCGCATCCGCGCGATGTGAAGTCAACCACCAGTATGGTGCGGGGCCCCGTCCTTCCCTAGATGTTCCCTAGGGTGACGTCACTTGCAAGGCATGTATACCTCCCACGAACTGTTATAGCTCGACAGTGACGTGCAGTCTGTCAGAACAAAAATGGCATAGCAATAACAAAGTGTACATACCGTGTTACGAAGGTAATTCATACGGCGTTTATTTCAGCTCTATATCACACGGAGCAGGAAGATAGAATCGACGAGTCCCTTTTCGACGAGTGTTCGTCAACACTGCCTCGGAAAACAAGGGGAAGAGAGGGAAGAGATTGACCTCACCTCTTAATCTAAAATTAAGGTCAGCAATCAAACTGTAATACGGGAAGGGTCCACAAGGGTAGCGCGGGCATATTCCATTCAGCACGCCAGCCGGTCGTAGGCAGACGGTCTTGCGACGAAGCAATGCTGCGCCGAGTCGGAGTGCCTGCTAGGCCTATATTCTGATCAGCTCGCTTCGTCGGAGTCGGTGAATTCGTGGCCTTTGTCGCGTTTCTCGGGTGTCGGTGGATCCAGCGTTCTTGTTCTTCGTGGTCCGTTTTAAGTACTTTTTTTCTTGCTGCTTGAAGTCGGCACGCGCGAGAAGAACACGTAGAAAAATAACGCTCGTCGGTCGTCGCCATCCAAGTAACTGAAGTCGGCCCTGCCCTACTGCGCACGCGCAGTAGTTGCTTCGTTTACCACCCGATAGATGGCGGTTGGCTCTCAGCATTATCAAATTTGGCAATTTTCGCCACACATCTCTAATTATACTACAAAATGTGGATCTGAATATTATTTAACAAAACTTTTAGGAAACATTCGCCGGCTATTTATTGTTTACGATCGCGGTGCTGGTGAGGTAGGCTCTTACCCAATAGGCGACGTGGATTCGGCTGACGTGCTCCGTTTCCGCGGATGCATCGTAGTGAAAAGGCGAAGGAAAGAAGGCGCAAAAGAGTCCAGTTTTTCTTTAAAAGTTCTATAGCAATGAAAAAACGGTTAAAGTGCAGGCGAGCTGGTGGATATTTACCATGATGGAACTTAACCCGAGACTGGGGTAGAAATAGAAACTTAAGAGTAGAAGGGACAGAGACAAGTGAAGAAGAGAACGTCTCAAACGCAGCTAAAAGATTTATTTAGTCCCACATCCTTATATGCTCACAACCACAAGGTCACCCAAACACTCAACACGCCCCTTTCAAAGACACAACACACCAAAAAAAAAAAAAAAATGAACCGCAGACAACAATACAAAGGGACGCCCCCTCAAGCAATACTGCGAACAGGGGCAAACCATCCACTTGTCCGGAAAGAAAAACTTTTCATTTTTCCTTTCCTTCTCTTTTGTCTCTGTGTGTCACTGACACTACACCCACGAACCAACAAGACCCAAAACTTGAGTACAAAGACCAACGGTGTCCGCGAACACAACGAAAACTGGGAAGAAATCTCCAAACCAGAACGACAACCACAACAGACAGATACAGACGGACTCACTCTAAAAAGCGCAAAACCACTTCACCCTTAAAAAAAAAAAAAAAAAAAAAAAAAAAAAAAAAAAAAAACTTGTTTACAGTTTTAAAAATGCGTTAGCATTGTTTCCCAACTGCAATGAAGCCTGACTTATACAATTACCGATTGATTTAATCCGAATGGTTTCCCTTACCAGTCTCTTACTGTCATTCACTTCTTTATGTATTATTTCCGTCTCTGACCACAAAGCAGTGCAATTGTTACATTCATTTATGTGCTTAGCTATTTCAGAATTAGTAGCGTTAATCCTTACATTTCTCTTATGTTCTGTCAGTCTGTCATTAACACACCTCGAAGTTTGCCCTACATAAGCAAAGCCACACGCCATCGGAATTTCATACACTACACTGTTTCTGCACGAGATCGATTTTTCACGGTGAACTTTCCTGCGCTCTTGCATTTCAGTTTCAAACGGAGTTAATCTATCTAACCTGAAATCAGAACTAAAAACTGTTTCAACTCCAAACTGCTTAGCACACGCCTTCAGGTAATGTGAAATGCCATGAAAATACGGGATCACAGCCATCCGTCTTTTCGACGTGTCTTCTCTTTCCTCTTTCTCCTTGGTGTGTACATCTAAATTCCTTCTGATGAACTCTTCTTCATACCCTGCCCCTCTTAGTCTCTTCCATTGACCTTCCACCGAATTTGTGATAAAATGTATGCATGATCGGTCTAGAGCATTTCTTATCAAAGACTTTACCACTCCCGCTTTCACCGTTTTCGAATGGCAGCTACTTTTTGACAGAACAGGTTTCGGGTTTTCTTTGCCGTACTCGGATTATCGGAGGTGTATCTGAACTCGTTGGACTCTGTTTTGTTTGATCGAATTCAGGGTTTTGGAGAGAACATGTGTTTTGTAAGGCGTTATGTGGATGATATTTTTGTGCGCACCTTCCGGGACGACCTGTTGAACGGTCTCGAGCATTTGATAAGATCAGCAGCCCCTGAACTACGTTTCACCGTAGAGAAACCGGAGAATGGATTATTACAATTCCTGGATCTGCGGATTCACACTGATAAAGGTCTCTGCTGGGAGTACGGCAAAGAAAACCCGAAACCTGTTCTGTCAAAAAGTAGCTGCCATTCTAAAACGGTGAAAGCGGGAGTGGTAAAGTCTTTGATAAGAAATGCTCTAGACCGATCATGCATACATTTTATCACAAATTCGGTGGAAGGTCAGTGGAAGAGACTAAGAGGGGCAGGGTATGAAGAAGAGTTCATCAGAAGGAATTTAGATGTACATACCAAGGAGAAAGAGGAAAGAGAAGACACGTCGAAAAGACGGATGGCTGTGATCCCGTATTTTCATGGCATTTCACATTACCTGAAGGCGTGTGCTAAGCAGTTCGGAGTTGAAACAGTTTTTAGTTCTGATTTCAGGTTAGATAGATTAACTCCGTTTGAAACTGAAATGCAAGAGCGCAGGAAAGTTCACCGTGAAAAATCGATCTCGTGCAGAAACAGTGTAGTGTATGAAATTCCGATGGCGTGTGGCTTTGCTTATGTAGGGCAAACTTCGAGGTGTGTTAATGACAGACTGACAGAACATAAGAGAAATGTAAGGATTAACGCTACTAATTCTGAAATAGCTAAGCACATAAATGAATGTAACAATTGCACTGCTTCGTGGTCAGAGACGGAAATAATACATAAAGAAGTGAATGACAGTAAGAGACTGGTAAGGGAAACCATTCGGATTAAATCAATCGGTAATTGTATAAGTCAGGCTTCATTGCAGTTGGGAAACAATGCTAAAGCATTTTTAGGACTGTAAACAAGTTTTTTTTTTTTTTTTTCTTTTTAAGGATGAAGTGGTTTTGCGCTTTTTAGAGTGAGTCCGTCTGTATCTGTCTGTTGTGGTTGTCGTTCCGGTTTGGAGATTTCTTCCCAGTTTTCGTTGTGTTCGCGGACATCGTTGGTCTTTGTACTCAAGTTTTGGGTCTTGTTGGTTCGTGGGTGGAGTGTCAGTGACACACAGAGACAAAAGAGAAGGAAAGGAAAAATGAAAAGTTTTTCTTTCCGGACAAGTGGATGGTTTGCCCCTGTTCGTAGTATTGCTTGAGGGGGCGTCCCTTTGTATTGTTGTTTGTGGTTCTTTTTTTTTTTTTTTTGTGTTGTGTCTTTGAAAGGGGCGTGTTGAGTGTTTGGGTGACCTTGTGGTTGTGAGCATACAAGGATGTGGGACTAAATAAATCTTTTAGCTGCGTTTGAGACGTTCTCTTCCCAACAAACCACTGGATGTCCACTGGACATCCGATAGATATCCGCTCAAGATATTCGGACGTCCCCAGGAGATCCGTAGCCGTCCGACGGACGTCCCCAGGATATCCGTCAGAGTGCCAAAGGTAACAAATTTGCATGTCCGTCGGACATCCGAAATGGGATCCTTCTGCAGGCCAATTTTGGATATTCGGATGGCTTGCCTGAATTCATTCTACTTTAGCCCAGATATGTTGTAAACCAGTCAAAACACTAACCTGAGCCAATTTCTACAGGGTAGAATTTCTTCGGATATCCCGTGAACATCCGATAGAGATCCGATTCAGATATATCGAACATCCGTGGGACGTCCGTATACGTCCAACGAACATCCCCAGGACATCCGACAGAGCGCCAAAGCGAACAAAATTGCACATCCGTTGGACATCCGAAACGGGATCCCTCTGCAGGCCAATTTCGGATATCCCGGGAACATCCGATAGAGATCCAATTCAGATCTACCGAACATCCGTGTACGTCCGATGAACATCCCCAGGACATCCGACAGAGCGCCCAAGCGAACAAAATTGCACGTCCGTCGGACATCCGCAATGGGGATCCCATTGCGGATGTCCGACGTACGTGCAATTTTGTTCTGCAGACCAGTTTTGGATATTCAGATGCCGCATGCCTAAATCCGTTCTATTCTTGCCTGGATATGTTGTAACCAGTCAAAGAACGACCCTGAGCCAATTTATATTGGCAATATGGTTTTATTACTACACTCGTGTCCTATCCATACAGGCGCTTCTTCTGATTCATCTCGGAGGTTGGTGTTCAATCTTTACGCATTGGGAAACCATCTTGCTTTGTGTCATCTTGCAGCTGTCTTTTCATGGCTCTAACAAAGAACCAAAGAAGGTATCAGTGCGGGAAATTTCATAGTACATCCAGAAAGTACCTGTAATTGTGTGGCATACTGTAAGGTGACAATCCCCGGCGTCGGCAGGTCCTCTCTGCACCGTATGGCCCTAAGAAAACAAGTTGGAGACGGTATCGGTATGAGTGAAGGTAAATTTTGCAACACTTGGAAGTTACCTGTTGCTGAGTAGTGTAGTGTAAGGTGTTCGTCCCTGGCATGGCAAGGTCATTTCTGCACCAAGGTGAAGAAGAGATGAATGCACGCAACTTTCACACCAGAATCGGAACATACCTGTAGCTGAGTGGCATGGTCTAAGGTGCTACTCTGGTGTGCTGGGTAGCCCTTGCTACACCGCCGCATGGACCTAAAAAATCAAGTTGAAGAAATAATGAGCGCAGACAAATTTCACTACACTTTTAAAACTTTTTGGTAGCCGAATAGCATAGTGTGAGGTACTAACATTTTTCCATAACATGGCAAAGAACAAACGCTGCAGCCCCGCAAGACAGTCAGAGCGAGTTGCATCACAATGTAGCCGTCGTGCATTCCTCCCGTGGAGTGCTGTCATGTACTTTGCTCTGTCACTTTAATTGGCTCACGGGGGCCATATAGCTTTCACCCTTAGCCAAGTTATAGTGAAGCGGAGTGTACTATAAAGGCGCGTTCCCACCGGCGATGCGATCTAGTCGTGCGATAACTTTCATCGCAAAAGCGACCATTGCGGGCAAAAAGCAACGCGATTCGAGCAGTCGCGACTCGACCCGACTTTTTTGCGATGCGATCTAGTCGCGGAGCGGCTGAGCCAATCAACGGCGTTCGGAGGGAGAGTTTTCGAGAAACGACTTGCCAACGAAGGCGTTGGACTCGCTCATCGCGCACACCAATGTGACCATCTAATTTTTTTGCGATGCGATCTAGTCGCATCACGCGACTGCTTACATCGCCAGTGGAAATGTGCCTTAAGTGGCAACTTGGGAGAGTTGGTGATGCATTACAACCAAAAAAAGTGCAAAAATTGGATGAAGGACGAGTGAGAGGAATATAAGCGACAGGCGCCAACTTGCAACTAAATTTTTAATTAGGGAAAAACATGAAACCCTTGAACCACCAAAACATGAAACACCGCCAATCTTATCAATGTGATTACAATATTGCTTCATAACGGTGTCCTTATGAAGCAATATTGTAATCACATTAATAAGATTGGCAGTGTTTCGTGTTTTGGTGGTTCGAGGGTTTCATGTTTTTTCCTAAAAAAAAATTCAGTTGTAAGTCAGCGCCTGTCGTGAACATTCCTCTCACTCGTCCTTCGTCTCATTTTTGCACTTTTTTTGGTTGTAACAGAGTGTAGTCTTTGCCGTGGGGAGCTCATTCGTACATCTCGTGACCCTAACAAGACCTTTTGAAAAGATGAGTGCAGACAACTTTCATTAAGTAAATTTTACCATATTTGCCACACAGTTTGATCTTGAGGCGAATATTAAAGATGCCTATAAAACACTGGTTCCATACTTAAAAAATATGGCACAAAATACAAACCCTTGAACTGTAATTTTGTAGCTAATTACCAAAAAATGTTGCTTCACAGCTCTGGAAACAAATAGGCACATATAACAATGTTCAAACTTGCCTTGTACACGACTTGACTGGTAGTAAAAAAGGATAGCACATTCCATAGTAGAAATTACCAGGGGCATTTTTATGGTCCATTGGCTCCGTTAATGCCTGCTCACTGACCTTTCCTGAAAATACAAAAAAAAAATGGGTTCAATAAAAAGTCAAAAATAAATTTGTTATCAAAAGTGGAGTGCCACTCAAATACAAAAGCAGAGCATTAAATGTACTTGCACACCTTCTTTCCCACAAATCCACAGTAGGCCATTTCCTGCCATCTATGGAGTGCATCCAGTGTACGACGAGGCACCAAGAAAGTGATCCGTGCAAGGAAATTGAACATCTCCATGTTGAAATTATGTTCTTAAATTGCATCATACTGTAAGCCCCGTAATCATCTGGCTGCACTTTGCAGTGAGTGGACTAGAATGTGCTCTGCAACAGGGAAGGCGTGCATGCATTTTTCAGAGGTGGATATATATAGCGATGTGAATCACGAAACTGCCAAAGAAAAGTGCAGACATGATGGTGTGCCTTCATGTGTGTGGAGATAGTATATAATGAACATCAGAGTTTATGTATGGTATTAACAACATATATCTGATTAAATGAGAATCTTTAATTTTACTGTGCTAAACACTGCGCACTATGCAGCTGCTTAAAATCCACTGTAGGAATGCAAATACGGTATAGGCGCTCTTTCGCATTTTGCTTCTGCAGAATCGAGTCCAGCACCAAACTACACCCCATGAAAGCACACATTGACCCACCATGATCCACTTCATTCTAAACGCGAGGCTTTCAGCGCCCCCGCCAAGCACGCGCGAGCGTGCAGCGCAAGCAAAGGTTCAGGGGAACATGCTTGTGCTAGTAGCTTCGGCTTCGTTTGCACACGAAGTGAAACAAACATTAGTAGCTTCGATAAAAGCCATTCATGTGTAAACAAAACACGCAAAAAAAAATACGATTGAACTTTGGAGAGCAAATCCCTTGGTCTACTTTATGATTAAATAAGCCTGAGACTGAGGAACACATATAAGGGGAAAAACACACACGGCCCCAAACATAGCTGGAGTTCTAGCCGAACTCGTTTGCACCCGAGAGACCAAGCAGCCCTCTGACACCGTACCCGGGCTGGACGGCGCGGCGTCAGGTCCACACCGACGACGCAGCAGCTTCACCGCCCTCACGTTCTCAGGCGTCAAAAACATAATTGTTCACTGTCCCTGAGAACAGCCCAACGCCTAACTTCTAAAAGGTCACTCACCTTCCGATTCCCTTGTAGCCGTGCTCGATGAAATGGAGAACAGTGGCGAGACGGAGGCTGTCAATCACCGGTCCTAAATCGAGACTCGCACTTGCTTGCTCGCACAGGCTTGAGAGCGGCTCATTCGTGTCCGCTCGCTTTTGATCTTTATATTTTAAAAGTGACAATAACACTCGCGAAAAGAGAAAGCGAGCGCGGTAGCAGGAACAGCGGAGACAGCGGCGGCGGCGGTACCGGCGGGCCGAAAAAGGCGCCATTGGCTAGAATAATTCTGCAGTAAATACATTGAAGCTTTTTCCTGATATTTCCAGATATTACCTATTTATTTAGAGAAATTTCCTTTATAACTGAATATAAAATGTCGCTGAATTTATTTTGTTAGTAACTTTTTAATATTTAGGGTCTACCCGTTTACTTTTCATTTTTCTCATTTACTGCGGAGATGCACGCCTCAGAAGCTAGGGAAGTGCAGCTTCCAGTTTCCTCCTACCATCGCGACGACGCTAACGACGCGGCGCGTTGCGGAAGAAAGGCAAACTAAGTACCGTGTTGGCGCGGCACTCGCAACAGATGGCGCTGTACTCGCCACACATGGCGTATCCTCCCCTCCAAACACACACAACACACGCAAAAATCGCCCGCCAAAACGGTGCCCCCCCTCTCCGTCGTCGTCTTCTCTTTTTATTTTTTGTTTTTCCCGACCGAGCTGTTTTGGCGTACGCTTTGTGCGAAGGCACTAAAGCTTCCCCTCCCACTTAGGGGGTGCTTTGTGCAAAAAAGTAAGACACGGATTGCGCTTTTGTAGTGGAGCACTATCGCCACTGAAGCGGCGATACTAAAAATTGGAACCACCACAAAGTCGACGTTTTAAACGTGCTACGCAGCACCGCTTGAGATTTTTGTTGTAACGCTGTAAGACTGCAGCATATTCGTTTCTCTTATCAGAAGTAAAAAAAAAAACAAAAAAACACGTCACTTTATCCCGGAATACCGCGATTCCGCCGTGTAATCGCAAACCAAAAATCTAACTATTCCCCAATCTGCAGCCGCGTATGGCGACAACGAGAACCATGGCGTGATACACAAGATTTTAAGTAATTTAAAACGAAAAAATACTTCTAATAGTCCGTATTCAGTACCCTAGCTGAAATGCGGGAGAAGTGATTGTCAGAAAAAGCGAACCAGTTGTTTAGAGCGTGGGTATCAAGAATAAATGAGTCTTACTAAACAAAATAATTATAGCTAAAATCTTTAAAAAAAAAAAAAAAAAACACTACAAAGATTTTTTTTTTTTTTTTTAGAATAGTAAAAAAAACATTAAGTTACATCGCTAACCCCAACCGGGAGGGGAAAATATATTTGGAAAAGGATTGAAGAAACGATTGACCCATCGCAATACGTTTCTCTAATTAACAAACGAAGTAAGAGGGGGAAAACATCTTAAACAGTCGACTGAACAAATCATTAAAATCAATTTTGGAGCGATGTATGGCCCGGGGATAATAACAAACTTTTTGGTTTTTTTCAATTAGGAGTTGATGAGATCAGAAGTATTTGTAATGATAATGTGGCTAGGGTGACCAGACGTCCCGTTTTGGCCGGGACAGTCCCGTTTTTGAGATCCGCCTCTGCTGTCCCGTCTTTTTGTCCTGATAAAGAATTATGTCCCGTTTTCGAGACATAATTCTTTTTTTTTTTTTTTGTCTATATAATTGCGCAGACTTTTACAACCGAGCCTTATAAGAAAAAGTCCTGCTTAGGAAACTTCAGTCGTCGGCAAAATACACCCACACCAACGAAGGACGCGAAGCAGTGTGACTGTTCCCTAGACTAGGGCTTAGCGCAATATGGTAACGTTTTGAAATGAGAGCAGCTATTTCATTAAAATTTTCCCCCAATCTCAATTTTTAGCCCCCGCCCCCCACTGGGATGTCCCGTCGTCTACCTTGAGGAATATGGTCACCCTAAATGTGGCATATGAACAATTAAGTTTCTCAAAGGTTGATCAGTAAATCATTTGAATGTAGGCAGTGAGATGCATCCGTATTTTTTTTTTTTTTTTTCAATTAAAAAATGTGGCTAGGATTCCGCGTGTTTTCGGAGTTTATTTCTCGTGAATTTGGAGGGTGTTTTGGGGGGTTTTATTTTCGCTGATAATTGTGGGTTTGTCAGAGTTTATTTTTGTCTAATTCGGATTTAATTTTCCTGTGTATTTATAATAATAATAATAAAAAAAAAAATAAAGTCCAGGTACCGTGACCCACTGTCCTGAAGGAACCTCAAAGGGCAAACCTATTTTTGTGAGTGGTTCTATATATTTCAAAGGAAACTGAAGAGGCATGCCCTCAGGACCAGTGACAGTGCTTATATAAAGTTTATTTGTAAAACACCGTCTTTCTTTCTTTTTTTTTTTTTTGTCTTTTTTTCTGTCGTTATGATTTCGAAATTTTG